CAGACTGTAGAAGGCAAATCAATGTTGCCAGCGTCCTATGTTTGAAATGTCTTATCTTCCCAGGATTAACCCTGGGAACATAAGAATGACTCCCTAGACAGAGCTGGAATTGTCATAAAATGATTGAATATTAACTTTAAACACGCAGCTGGTGGTCTGTAAATTTTCAAACTGTGTTGGAGACAGTCTCAGAGACAGGATTCAGGTCACTGAACAGGCTTTGAGGCTGGTAACTTGTTAGCATGGTACAATACCAGTTTCTAAACAGAAAAAACAATACAAAAAGAATGAAACTTAAAAAGGAAGAAACTTAAACTGGTTCACTTGTTCATTGAAACAAAGCTGAAATAAAATACAATTATTGAATAATAACTTTAGAATATTTATAATATCAGATGAAACTTTAGAATTGAAATTCAGATTAAACAAAATTAAAATAAATAAATAAATAAAAAAGTTGACTTGGCAACTAACTGAAATAAAATAAGTTTAAGTTGAATCACTAAAGCTGAAATAAAAATTTAAATAAATGAAAGCTAAACAGTAATATTAATATAATTAAGAAAAATTACAAAAGCCCAATAAAATTACTAAAACATAAATCAAAAAGAAAATGAATTTATATAAATATATATATGAATAAATACTATAATGGCATATAATCAATACTAAAACAACACTGCTCTTATGATCTCTGTATGACTCAACCTCCACGTCAAAGATACCAGTTAAATGTTATAAGGTAAAACAAACAGCTAAAGATCAGGTGACATTTGCATGGGAATTATGCACTGAATGGAATTTAACTCCAAAACGGGCGTCATAATCAATCCCGAAATTAAATATGTCATAATTTCTAGCGGTTTTGAAGGTCACCACCACCACATGGTGACTTTCGGTCCTTTTCGGCATCAGTGCTCAACATTCAGGAGAGATTAGGCGTTCACACAGCAGGTTCTCCTTTTGTAAACCGCAACAAACAATACGCCACAGCTTCATTAAAGCTGAGAAAATCATACCCAAATGCAAGAAATGTGATTTATTCACCATGAGACTGGTTGAGCAAGTCTTAAAGTACATCATGGGTCTGACCTGCAAGCTTCAAGGAACATTGTGGATCAGATTTCTGCTGTTTGATGGTGATGGTTGAGAATACGGACTTCAGAGACTGAGGTTACAAACTGGTAAGTAATCAGAGAACACCAGAACAGTAAGCTTACAGTCCTGGTATTGGATTACTTGCAGGACTATTGTCTTTCTAACTAATACTGTTTGCGAACATAATAAACATTCCCAAAAAACCAAAGCAATTTCATTTCCAGCATTCTTCAATTTTAAACTCTCCTAAACTATAATGTGGCTACTATTAATATCAATATTTACAGTGCATGACTGAATGGTGTTTGTTTACGCAACTCATTATCACCCCCCCCCCCCCAAAAAAGAAAATTTGGGGGGGAA